AGACCCTGGAGGATAGTCACCTCTGGTAGAGGGGGGAGACCTAGAACTGGGAGGATGGTAATGGGGTGACCTAGAACCAGGGGCACAGATACCTGGAATTGGGGGTAACCTAGAACTGGGGGGCATAGGCACATCTGGTGCCAGGCATGACCTAGAACCAGGGGGAAGGACACAGCTGATACTGGGTGGGGGTGACCTAGAACCAAAGGGAAGGACCCAGCCGGTGCTGGGGGTGACCTAGAACCAGAGGGGCACCGATCTGTCCTGGAGGAGGTGAGCCTAGGCCGGAGACCTGCTGGGCGAGGTCTCTCCTGCCCTCCCGTCTCTCCTCCATCTCGGCGCTAGATGGTGGCAAAGGACTGAAAGTAGGACACGCAGCTCCGTTCCCCTCCGGACAAAGGCTGACGCCCGCTGACACCGGAGGGGCTCACCAGGGGCCTAGAGCAGGGTGCACCTGGAACGCAGGAGTTGGGGGGGAACGCGGGAGTTTCACGGGAACCCGGTGAAATTCGGTGCCATCAAATGCGACACCCTGCCCTGGGGATGGAGGAAGCTGAGGGCACGGGCTCGTCCGGCCAGGAGAAAGGACGGCTCCAGGGAGCTGCCAGCTGCCCCCAGTGCCTGCAAGGGGCTGTCGGGATCCACGAGTCTCCGGTGACTCCTAGTGCCCACGCGAGCTTCAGCATCTCCAGCTTCTCGCAAAAAGGACTTCCAGGACTAGTGAAAACTGCTGCAAATAACCAGTCATGGGGAACAGGGAAAAGGAGCAACTTGACGGGAGTGATTTTGCCACAGAAGACGGCAAAAGGGGAACTCCAAAGTGCAATCTTTCTACAAAAAATGCATGATTTGGGGGCTGACGGGAAGACTTTTGGCATCACGCTTGTGATTGGCCTCTGTCTTGCCACTGAACGGGCAGCAAGCTTTGCAGAAAGGGGCCCGGGCATGGGGAAACAGCCGCAAGCAGGCTGTTTCCGCCGCGAACAGGCGGAAGGATGGGAGCCGAACCGCTCACACCTGCGCGGGAGCCGGGGGCTGGCTCACAGAGCGACTGGACTGGAGCGACTGCCTGAGATCAGGGCGCGCAGTCTTGCAGGCAGATCGTAATGGTGCGTGCGTGTGGGTGTGCATGCATTTGACACCATCCTGCCTTTCCCATATTGCTAGGTGGGCTTGGCAGCGTCCTAGCTATATAAAGCAAGATCCCAAGATGGAGCAGGTTGAAAACACAGTTGAGACCATCTGCTGCACCTCTCGCCTCCTGCCTGCAGGCCTTTTTAGAGGGCTGAATTCAGCTTCCTTCTTACAGGATGTGTTGGGAGTGCTCTGCAATGTCTGGACCTGTCTATACCAGTGATTATACATCGCAGGAGGTCTCCCAAGCGTGCTGTGCCAACCGGCTCTTTCAAAGTGGTTTGGAGAGTGGTTGTGCTCAGGATATGGGCCGTGCAGATACAAAGCACGTATCACGGCGAGGAAAGACAGGCATCCTGCATCCGAGCTTGCATCTCCTACCATCATCTTTCTCTGCACCAATTGCAGAGGTCGCTGTGCCGCAAGGGGATGTTTCGGATGCAACTAAGTCGTCGGGATTATCTGTGTATCTAGCCATGTCCAGCTTTGGACTGGTGGGGATAGGAAAGGCAATCCTTTCCCCAGAATAATCTGGTTCTCCAGGGGTGGTGCACACACTACACAACATGCACCTGGAGGAGATGCCGGATGTCTCTCTCGGTTGTGCGAGTTAGTCCCCTAGGAGATGACACAAGAGCACGTGACAGATAGGAGGCCCTTGCTAGACACACGGTGAGGCGACCAGTCTGAGGACAAGGCAATTGCCTTTAAATTGATTCTCGTACCCCCCTTCCCTTCCCTTAAGTTATACGGCCGTAACGTAATCCCGCACAGTGTGTCACTGACTACTCATCTCTGCATCCCTTGCCACGTGAGCGGGTCTCTGCTCTCTCTTTGTAATCAGCTACATCCACCTATCACAGCACCTTTTTATCTTGCACTTAGCTACTACCATTAGCTACTTCCCATTTGCTTCAAGGTCTCCACGCTGTGCTGTAACCATGCTTTGACCTATTATAACCATACTACCGCTACTGAGACTTAGCTCTGTGAATGTTCTTGCTTCCCTGGCGGCAGCTCACGTTCACGCACCTTTTCAGGGGCTGCCCCTCCAGCTGGAAGCTTCCAAAAATTCTCAATTTTTAATCTAACCGTGCTCCCATCTGCAAGTCCCATTGACTTCAGCTGCACACACGCCTTTTCTCAAACGTGGCTGTTTCTTTAGCTCAGAAGAGCAATAATGAGGAAAACTTCATTTTGGCTGCAAAGCTAAACTACAATACCAAACTCTGCCATTGCTCCCAGCAAGGAACACCAGGTGAATTCAGGTGGAGTTTTGGGCAGAAACAGATGGTAAAGCTTGGGTAATAGGATGGCTGGCGTGTTTGGGTTTGTTCCCCACATCTGAGCATGGCTGTAGCCTAGGGCTCACATTCTGATCTTGCTTGTACTGGTGGAATTCAGATGCAGCAGCACTGATTCATTGGCCTCTGGGGTTTAAAAGGTACTTTCAATTCTTTAATCAAATGCTATGGCTAATCAGAGTTGCACAGGATCTGGAAATACCAAGCAGTGCAGGGAAATGTGCATCTACAAGGAGAGGCACAAGCATAATAACTCTCCTCTGTACTTATTTAGCATTTTCTTATCAGCATATCTCAAAGCACATTATCAAGGCAGGTACATACCATCTGCCTCTGCAAATCAGCAGCCCGGGGCTCAGAAGGTGATACGGCTTGCCTGAGGCCAGCTCAGCAGCAGAGGTGGGTGATGGAGTCTGTATCTCCCTCTGTCTTTTCGCTCCGTTCCAGAGTCTAGCCCATCCTGCTACCTCAGGAATGTTTGCAAAGTATATCGCAAATACTTATATTTTATTCTAATAACATAATTGGTAGGAGTTACATTAAGGCGCTATATAGGCCTGCTGTTATTTCAAGGATAGACTATTTGGCTTTGCAGGTTCCTGGACAACATCACCATTAATAATTTTACAGAATCATAAATGCAAAAGCTGTACAAGCCAGAGGAGAAGGCCTGAGTCTTAAAACGTGTAGTGAGCACTCCAAATGCACGGTGTACTGCAGCAAAGGCACAGTATTTGCAACAATGCTTGAGCACTCAGCTCCAAGACTGGTCAGACTTTGAGAATGTCACATTACCACTCAGTATGCTCGCTGGTGAGAAAAAAACATTAACGCAGGGTTACATCATGTCTTCGCATAGCTGTTCCCTGTTAGTAGCATGGACCTACCGCTGAACTGCTACCACAAAAAGCTAAGCCGAGCCTATCTGAGGCAAAAAGAAAGCTGGACTTAAGAAGCCACAAAAACATCCATGAAGCTATCCACTTAACTTGATTTTCTGGAGGAAAAGGCTTGTGAGGAGAGATCTGCAATACCAGGGAATGGATGCTGATGAATGTTTTGGGTGGGATTTACCTCACCTAACTTCAGATGCCCCAAACTTAGCTTTCTCAATCTGAATTAGTCAAGCTAGGCTCCTACGTAATCTATGGATGCTAAAATATGCAAGATAATTGCCATCTGGAAGTTCCTATTTCAGCTACTCCACTGAGAGAGTCAGCTTAAACAACTAGCTCTTAGACCATTATGCTGGGTGAGACAAACTCCCTTTTTCAAGCACACAGAGCAACCAGAAAAAAAGAAAGACGGCCTGGGAAAGGGAGATGCACTGAATCATCTAATCATTGATTTGGAGCTGGAAGTGCACATGGCACGCCACCAAGCACCCTACGGGCAAAGACTCTTCAGGTATGACCCACGGTGCATTGTGCCCAGTGCCTCGTCTCGACAACGGTCAGTGCCACTTGCACCTAAACACTTGAAACCCTCAAATGAAATACAGAATAATCTCTTCACAAAGGGGAAGTCTTCTCCAAATCCTTGTCAGTTAGTACCTAGTATTTTCTCTGAAACATGATTTCTAGTCTATAAATGCTGAGAATCCATGGGTGTACAGTGGCTCTTCTTACCGTATGGAAAGGCCCATTTTTTTCCTGGGAGTGAGTTCCAGTTGCTGTGGATTTTGTGCCCTTATCCTTAAAAATTCCCATTTGTTAAGTTTACTGGATATTTCCTTAATTGTGAAAAAGACAAATAAGAATATCTGACTTCCATTGACTTAAATAATTAGACTGGTATCAGCTCCCCACACAGAGCCCTGGGCAATGCTGTAACCCAGAGTCTGGGATCTGATTTCAGTCACTCAGACTCTGGGTACATGATTGAAATAACGGAGTTGCTGTGTTTAGCAGGAAGCGTTTTCCCTGAGCCTCCTTTCACCCACATATTAAAGGCTTCTCCCTTGAACGACGTGGTGTTTTCTTCACAGTTTAGATGACTTGGCTGGGGCTGTTACAGATTGGGGAGACCACATGAACACTGGTGGTAAGTGGTAAACCACTCACTTTCTAGTGAGGACACAGCTTACATCACTCCGGAGGCTGGTGAGAGCCTTCCACAATCCCTCTGTGCCCACAGAGACAAATTCTCCCACAATTCACTGGGAAAACATTACAGAGGAGCTCAGGCCGTGCGATACGCCCTGAGACGCCCAAGTGACACATGCAAGCTCAGTACAAATGAGGACAAGCATCTCCAGCAGAATTCTGCACAGGGGTCTTTAGGCCCAGCAAGGCCAACCCATAGTTTAGACATGGTCAGTAATCTAAGTGAACTCTGCAGTGACGAGGTACTCAGGGAAAAGGAGAATGTAGCACCAGCTTGAGAGCACCAATGACAGGAAACCATGCTGAAAAGCCCTCAGGAAAGCAGACTTGACTCTACTCCACTTTGGAAACTAGAGATCCCACCTGGAGATCCCAAAGGCAGGCAGGAGTCATTGTGCCAAGTGCTGTACTCACAAAAAAAGTACAAAGTCATCGCTCTAACACCTCTCTATCGAAACTGGCTGCAAGGCAGTGAGCTTTCTTTTGTACAGCCTAAGTGAGAATGGACGTAGGATCTCCTTGCCCATTTTTTTACACTGAATAGTGAGGTCAATGAGGACATCTTTTCTAGCGACACCTGATAAAAACTAAAGCCAGGTCCTTATGAAGGATTCAAAAGCAGCTGTTCTTCACTGAGCACAGCCTGTGATTCAGGTAACATTGCTGCTGTTTCCCACTTGCCAGGCAGATAAGCCCTTGTTCTTCTGAGAAGAAAGATACTCTGGATCCTCCTTTTCCTTACTCTGTATCAGATCCTTGGTTTGATGGAGGAATGTGCCATGGCTGAGCCTCAAACAGTGGAGATGCTAGAAGAAGGAGAAAAAACAGGATAATCACATTAATTTAGTCAGAGAATTCAGATTCTAAAGATATCTATGTACTTAGCCAATCCTCAGGATTTCAGTGGCATTTAATACCACAAATGCTTTTACAAATCTAGATGGATGGAAGGACTGTCTCCATTCATCATCTCATTATAGAGAGAATAATCATGTCAAAACCTCTTTAATCTTCCTGCCCACCTTTCTGACATTCTGCAAATATGGCCTGGTAAAGCCCAGCTGGCTCAAGTTGGTAAGTTTACCTTGGGAAAAGCCCAGCAGAGATCACAAAGGTCCAGAAGAGGTCACTGAAGGAATTAAGAGAGGATTTGTTTTCCTCTGATACAAAAAAATATATATAGTTTTGCCTAGCAAATTACCCCTAATCCAAATGTAATCCCTCAGAGATAATTCACCTCAGTGTTTTTATACCACAGTGATGGTGTTTGTAGGTAGCTTGTAGATTTGTCTGAAGGCCTGGTGCCCACTATCCAAAGCCCTGCTTTGGGGAACAGGTTTTAAATTTCTATCAGGTGGATCAATTCTGCAGCTAGCCCCCCAGTAGGAGTTCAGCCTACTCTGCCTGACACTGAATGCAGCAGAGTCAGAAGGGACCCTGCAGGTCTCTGTGTGCTCCACCATCCTCCATCCCTGTGGAATCAGTAATAATTAATGGACAGCCACTTCCCAGTATGAGCTCCCCGTACTTCATCCCCTACATCCTCTTTGACAACGCTAAACTGCCTCTAAACATCTAAACAGGGCCTCATCTTACTCATTCCAGTGCTTTTCCCAATGTATCATCCCTGGTCTGTGTTTAAATCCTTTCCACTGTATCCCATAGAAGGATTTGTGATCAGTCATTTGCACTGTGGGTCCTCCTCACGGCAGTTAGCCTATGCACCTGCTAATAATACTAGATGCTAGGAAGATCCAAAGGGATCCTGCAGGTCTCCACATGCTCCATTATCCTCCTCCTAGATGAGGTCATTAATAATTCCTGGACAGCCACTGCCCTGTAGGAGTTGCCCTCACTCTATGCCTGTGTTCCCTTCGAAAGTCCTAGACAGCATCACATCAGATGTCTTTTTCCCTTTGTTCACTCCAGGTTCTTTATCCACTACCCTTGTTGCTCTACTAAAACATATCAGAGGTCCCAAATTGCAGTCCCTACCCGGACAACTCCCTTGTGAACTATCAGGACTTTCCCCAGAACCTGCACAAGTGTTGAGCGCTTCTGAGAGCTACCAATGCTTTCCCAGCAAGCTACAGACACTGAGGACCTTCAGGAGATGCTGGGTGTACCAAGAGGTCGGGTCTTAAGAAAAAGCTGCCCAAACCAACCCAGGACTGAAATGGCATAAACTTGTTTTTGATTATGTCGGTCTGCCTTCTTATTTTTGGAAGGCACTCACATATCCACTGCTTTCTCAGATGTTCTGAAAGTCCCTATGGAGTTGATCACTTTGTTCTCTAATTTGCTCAATGGCCTTGTCCCTGCCCAACCATACCAGCTCCTCCTGGCATCCATCCAGGGCCTGGCAGAGTCAATGGACTTTGGACTGAGCCCACTGTGACTTATGCACCTATGATTCCTTGCTCTGCCATTGAAGATTAGTGAGCTAAAACCAAGGTGAAGCCCATGCCCAGTGTTCAATACTAGGACAATGGCCATGACAGATAGGTGGATCCAATAATTACTAGATTTGAAATCTTTGGCCATATGTTCACTGTTGAAGCAGCAAAGCACGCTCATCTGCATTCCTACCATCCAGAATGACTGCCTTCTCCTTTGCCTACAAGAATATACTGACAGCACCTTCTCCTTCCCTCTGTGTACTGAGTTTGGATAGCTGCAACCTCTACAGTAGCTTCTGAATGGGACAGGAGAGCATACTAACATGGAGACCTGGTGCTCGTCCTTGTGAAGTCTTTCTTTCCTCTTTCGCACTGCTTTGGCACTGGAGCTTGAACAGGCACTGGTCGTATCCCAGCGTTCCACTGGGGGCTTTGGACTAGGGTCTTCACTGCTGCTTTGGGGAGCAGGTTTCCAGTGGACTGGTGAGCGGCCCAACTGGGACGAACTGGTGTTTTTGGAACAGACTCAAGATCTGCCGAAAGTGACAGCTAGGAAGAGAAGGCAATAAGTATCATATTATCCTAACAGCCCCAGGGAAACTGAAAATGTTGGAGCGTTTTGAGAACTTTAATCTATAAATGGTATCGCTAAATGATGATATGAGCATAATTTTGTACTATTGCACTCTGTTATAAGCTAACTTTAAAGACAAAAGAACCCAATGAGAAACTGATGCCAGCAAGGCCAAAGCCTCAAAAATTGACTCTCCACATCAACTCACATATTAATGCACAAATTCTCCCCTGTGCCCATGGCTCCAACTCTTCCCAGTCCTGCTTACTCTTTGAAGTCTTGCAGTGCAAAGGATGAAGCTTGTACTAGCACATTGTTCAATAATCATTTTCCAACCAGTATAAAAGTTGAGTAGAAAAATATCTTAGCAACACAGTGATTGTTTATTCCTTGAAAAAGGTCCCAAATATTTGCGCAGGGTTAGGTGCTGCAGACCAACAAACTTGGCTCTTTTTAACTGATACAAATTCTTTGCTAAGAATAATGAACAAACACAAAGGATTTATATAAACTCATTAAGAAGCAACAAGGGCACATAAGTCTGATGTGAAGCTAGTACCCACAGTAACATGGCTGTGCAGAAAAGTCAGTGCTGTTCTGCAATTGCTGCCCGCCTGTTTCTCCTTTCCATTATTTGAACTGGCAGCAGTGGAAGATATATAATGCTTCATGCCTAATTGTCTCGTTATAAATACGCAATCCAGCAACTGCTGAATATTAACCTGAAGAAAGGCCAGTACAACTATCTAAAATGATCCAGGTTCTTAGCAGGACTTGACGAGTAACAGAGAGATGGCGTGCAGTTTTTCTGTCCTAGTGAGAAAAGCACAATACCACAGAAGTAGTAGTTGCAGCACAGCTCTGACTGTACTTTGCTTTTCTGCTCCTGTGTCTTTGGTGATTCAGCTTTAGAGTGCATGGGGACAGGCAGGCAAACAGTAATAAAGCACAAAGCCAGGCTATGCCTTTAAAATTAGAATCACATATATAAGCTGAGTTTCAATTTGCAAATATTATACCGAACCATTTTCACCCTCAGGAGCAGTCCCATGAAGTTCAATAAAATTTCTTGTCTGAATAAGGAAAATTCAAAATCAGGTTTGCAGAATATATGCAGTGTAAATACACACTGAATAGGACTGTGGTCTCCATGCTGAGAGCCCTGGATTTTTGTGTGGGATATAGTCACACAAAATATAAATGCAAAACATCAACTCCCTGTCAATATGACATAGGAAAATTTATTTCTAACTTCAAATGCTGGAGTTGTATTACCTTAGGATACAGGCAGTGAGGCAAGAATGACTGCTCCTGTCAAAAAGATGTTATTTAGTGAACACTAAAAATAAGTCAGTAATTCAAGAACAGCTGTGAGGGTGGAGTAGTCTCTCAAATAGAAACAAGCAGACAGCTGAAAGGCAGAACCAGCCCGTGATCACTGACATTACAGCAATTTGCAAAGCTGTCAAAAGCATCAGTCTGCAGAATTTTCACCTTCCTAATTAAAGTATCTGGGAATTTTGACATTTGAAAAGTTTTGGCACGAGGCTGCCTGTTCTGCTAAAGACCTGCAGAAAACTCCATATTGGAAGTCATCAGGGAAGAACCTCTTGCTGTGTAAGGGACACTAATGTGGCAGCAATGATGCCTGGGAAAGGACCTGCAGGGCCAGAGGCAAGGAATCACAGCAGAGCAGCAGAGCTCCAGGTCAGAAAGAACAGGAGGGCTCAAACAGCGGGGCTCAAAACACTGGGACTGGGTTTCCATTCCCAGCCCAGCCTGGTAAAACTTTGGAAAAGTCACAGAACGGTTGAGGTTCGACGGGACCTCTGGAGATCACCTGCTCAACCAGAGTCACCTAAAACACATTGCCCAGGACCCTGTCCAGAAGGCTTTGGAATATCTCCAAGAATGGAGACTCCACAACCTCCCTGGGCAACCTGCTCCAGTGCTCAGTCACCCTCATAGGAAAGTTGTTTTCCCTCATGTTCAGGCAGACCTGCCTGTGGTTCAGGTTGTGCCCGTTGCTTCTTGTCCTATCGCTGGGCACCACGGAGAAGAGTTTGGCCCCATCCTCTTGACACCCTCCCTTCAGATATCAATACACATTGATGACAACCCCCCTCAGTCTTCTCTGCTCCAGGCTGAACAGGCCCAGCTCCCTCAGCCTTTCCTCCAAGGAGAGACACTCCAGGCCCTCTAGGGCTCCTTAGTAGCCCTTTGCTGGACTCGCACCAGGAGCTCTCTTGGAACTGGACACACGAGTCTGGGTGTGGCCTCACTAGGGCTAAGTGGACCACCTGCTGGCAACACTCTGCCTAGTGCACCCCAGGATCCCATTGGCTTTCTTGGCCACAAGGACACATTGCTGGTTCCTGGTCACCTTGGTGTCCACCAGGACTCCCAGGTCCTTCTCCGCAGAGCTGCTTTCCAGCAGGTCATCCCCCAGCCCCAGAGGGTTATTCCTCCTTAGGTGCAGGGCCCTGCACTTGCTATTGAATTCCACGAGGTTCCCCTCATGAACTTCACTGAACTGTTTCAATACATTCACGTGGACAAAACGTACTCAGGTATTTTGCAGTTTCCTGGTGTCAGTGCATGTTAAGCCAGTCCATGGAGTGCTTTAACAGGCGCCAAGGCTAGCATGAAGTGCCATGAGCAGGCTGCTGGGAACAGGACCTCCCTGCTCAGGCAGCACTGAGTTGTTCTGCTGGCTCACTCTGCCTCACAAAACCAACCTTTAACAAGACAAAAACAGTAAATGGCTTTCTGCCAGCTTAGCACACCAAAAAGAATCTGCACACACTCAAATGTGCTGGATCTAGCATACAAG